ACAATGGAAGCATAGGACCACTAAAGAGACTACTTGGGAGAAGAAATCTGAGATGAGATAGCTCTACCCAAGTTTATTCTGATGTATTTTGATTTAAGAATGTCGATGAAGACATTTTTTTAAGGTGGGTGGACTGTTATAACTCAAATTTTAAAAATTATATTTTTTTCTTGCAACATTTAAGAATTTATTCAGGAATCATTATAAGCCCAAATCATAAACCGTCTTCTCCATAACATCTATGTTGTTATTTCCCTAATTTTTTTCATAATTGTTGGGCACTAGTTAAATTTCTTAAGAAATCATCACATGATGGTACAAATGGGGTTTTTGGGAGAGTTAAATGTCCGTTTTGCAAATTGATTTCACCAAAATTTTCTAAATAAAATAAGGTCTTTTATGGATTTTTTTTATAATTTTTTGAATCTCTAAAAGAATTTTTATAAATTTTATACTGAAAATTCATTAAAATATTATTATTATATTATTATTTAAAAAATATCTTAAGTCACTAAGTTTAAAGTTATTTAAATTTCTTTTTATCATTTCATTCCAATTAATAGAGAGTTTTTTTTTTGTGAATTGAGAAAAGAGAGAGAGAGAAGGAAGCTAGATTTTGGCAGCCTTTATTTGCCAGTAGGATTACTGAATAAATTCAAACATAAGGGGAATGCAGGTTTACTGCCCAAATTCAAACAAACAAGGAATTCTAACAAAATATAAAAGAGACTAAATTTTAAATTAAATTGTCGAAAAAATCCTAAGTTGCAAAAATAAGAACTAGATTTAATAGAAAAATGACTCACGAGGAACTTGTAGCGAATTAAACAATCACCAATGAGCGTGAAACAAAACATTCATCCTAACTCCTAAAACGCTCATGTACACTCAAATCCATCAAGAACATGCTCTATGAATCGAATTTTGCATAAAACAAACTACACTGCGGCTCCCTATTTATTACCAGAAATTGATTACCTGTGGGGCCCACAAAACTAAAATCCAATCACAAAAAGACAAGGAAGGTACGCATGTGAAAGTGTGTAAATGTGCTATCTTAAGGCAACCGCATCGAATTCCCTACACGTGTATTAGAAGATAAAAAAGCAAATGCCAATGGAAAAATTAATCTAAAAATGCAAAATTGCATATACAACCCCATGATAGCATATTCACGCAAACAACTATCACGTCGGTCCTAACAAACAATCAATAATTATTTCACCTTAATTTTCTCTAATAAAAAGAAATGAACTAACCCATTGCAAGTCACTAGTATACTAGTGTCCTTACTAACACACATACCAGCTATTAAAACAAGATAACTTGTACAAATCCTCTGAATTTGTTGTACACCCCATGAATGAATATCTTTGAAAAGAAACAAAATAGTGCACTATTGTGTGTTACGGGTTGCACGGCTCATTCACTAAAGTGCATGAGACACATCAAATCTTCAAAGCACAATATCATATACGTGTCCTTTGGTTGTATAGTGCAAATGAATTGAAGACATACAAGTGCACTATACTAGTGCACTATGTAGCGTGTGCGCATACAGATGATCATGCAAATGTGCTTTATAAATGCACCAACATTCATGCAAACATGCAACAGCATCATGTAAATGCAGTTGTGCAGGTGCGTCGTACAAGTGTTTTATAAAACATGAAAGCGCATTGTACGAGTGCACATATGAACATGTAAATGAACGATATAACATGCAACTGCATTATGCGCACACTAAGAAATATACAAATGCATCATTCATATGCATTGAAATACATGGAAATATGCTATGCATATACATCAAGAATCATGCAAGTGCAAAATGCAGCATGCAAATCATACGAATGCATTATTCAAATCATGCAAGTGCATTATGCAAATGTATTCCATACATCATAAGCATATATTAATCATCATGTAGATGCATTATGAAAAACATGTAAATGCATTATGTCTCTAATGCAAATGCATTAAGCTAGTCCAAATGTATCATGCCAATTATATACATGCAAGTCATTATGCTAATGAATTATGAAAATCATATAAATATAATGAGCATTATGCAAATCATATAAGCATAATGATCATTATGCAAATCATATAAGGATCATTATGCAAATCATATAAAGTGCATTAATCATCCTGTGAATGCATTGTGCAAATGTATTAAAAAAATATGCAAAACATTTGAAAAAAATTTGAACGTCCATATGGACCCCAACGAGTGCATTGAAACCTGAAGCTGTCTTCAAATGAATGCAAGTGCAACATTTAAGGATGTTGTGCAGACTGAAAAATGATAAATGAATTTTAAATCTAGAGCTCTGAAAAGTGTTTAAATGCATAATGCAAATGCACTAACGGGCACGCACATCAATTAAAATAAAATTCAAATTACCTGCATATGCTCCAACGAATACATTGCACTATTAAATCCTTGTATGAGTATATTTCACGGGCTAACAAGGAAAAACAAATCTAAAATTCCGAGCCTAATTCTCCTCCTTGAAAAGAAAGAAGTTGACAAACCCAGAACCCAATGAATGAACGTGCAATTAAGAAGCTAATGAAATATTTAATTTTTAATCTCACATTAGGCCTTCAAGGTCTTTTATAAGAAATTTCATTATTTAAAATACAAGCCCCGAATAATTCGCAAAGTTGGTATCAGACCTAATCCTCAATTAGCAAGCAAACAGAGCTGACATGGTCCAAATAATATAATGTTTCATGAGTTAAAACAAAGACCCGAATCTCAGATCAAATCCGTTGTCTCAAAAAGATTGAAGTTGACAAGGTTTGCGTTAGCAAGCAAATATAAAGCTGTGAAATATGCAAAAATATTTAATTTATATGGTCACATTAGGCCTTCAAAACCTTATTTAAATAAAATTCATTAGAAACAAATATAAACTCGAGTTTAAATGTTCATATAATGATTCATAAGAGATGATGCACGTGTTCGATCTTGTCTTATAAATAGATAAAGTTTACAAGGTCAATTACCGATGACGAGCATGTTGAATGTGAATATCAACTCAAAGTGATTCTATTTTAACAATGCCCCAAAACTCCTATAAAATACAAATATATTTAAAATAATTTTAACGACACCCCGATGCTAGCCGTGTTGAAAGTTAATCTCAACCATAGGTGATTCTACATTTTCAAATGCCCCCAAATCCTAAAAGATTTATCACTTAGGTGTTCAAATTTTAATAAAATTCTAAGGCTCATATTTATCAAAGTTTAAATATTTAAAATAAAATAAAATCAACTAAAAACTTTAAAGCAAAAGCCTATTCAACATCCGTAACAATTTGTCAAGGCGGATAAATTCAAGAATAACTTCAGCTCATAAATAGCAAATATCTAGTCAAAAATATCACTAAGATTTATTCTCAATCAATCTATTATCAATTAAAATGTGACAAATGTCCTCTAGCCCATGGTTAGGCCCAACGACTAAACAAAATTTGTAGCTTGGCCCAACATCGCCATGTGGTAAACAATTATGATGGATCCTCTAATAACTGGTTTGGCCTAATGGCTCAATGGTCTAGCCCAACAACTCTGTATGGTGAATGATTATAACTGAGTCCCTCTATCCTGGTGGTTTGGCTTAATGACTCCACTAAATTATAGTCACAACTAAAGCTCGTATGCTTTTCAATAGCTAATCCCCTTGAGTGATGAATCATAGGATAAAACACAAAGCCCACTGTTAGCTAAGATTGACTCAAATCTATCCTCTTTGACAATCATCTTAGACAAATATTCACCCCAATTCTATAAAATACACTTGGACAAAACAACTCATGGCTGCCAATAATGATCCTTCAGTCAGGTTGAGTTGATTGGCTGCCTCCTCTTACTAAGTAGACTATAAACCACAATAACTTGAGACGATGAAACTATAGGATCTTGATTGGACTAATCATCATTCCCTAACCATCCGCCTTATATGGTGATGAATTTCAAATTCTAAAAATTCAAAATTTAAACCAAAAATTTATTGCTATTATACGCTAGAAACTAAGTGTCAATTTAATTACTAGCCTTAACCATAAATTCTCTCTCATTATCGAGAGGGATAATTAATCATAAGGCTTATGCCTATGAGAAGCCAAATCTCAGATCATAAAATCTTAACAAAATGAGAGTAAAATCTCTAAATAGTGTCTTATCTAAAATTCAATCTACCTTCTAAAAATTTAACCCAAAATCTAATCTAATTAAAACTCTCCCTGTCGATAAAAAGGCGTGAAGAAGCTAGAGCATGAATTTTCGAAGGCCACAGTAAACAAGCAAAATATCCAGGACCAGTGACTAGATTTGACACCTTCATTGTTGGAATTAATTGAGTAGTGGATAACTCCTTTTTATCTTTTAACCCCAAACCCAAGGAGTTCTTGTCTGCCAGACTCATGGAGTCCTCTGAAGCTACTTCACAACATACCTTGGAGCTTTCGAAACTCGGGTTACCAAGCAATACTCCCGCAAAAAACGATCAACTCCTGATCCCCGAGCACCCATCAATTTTTTGTTTTGAGGAAACATCAAGTTCTACCAGCCTTAGGCCTGACTCGAGAATGCCTACAACACTTCTGATTAATTGGCTCCTATGTCAAACGGGCGGAGTCAGTTGGATAGTGTTGGATGCATCTCGAAAAAGCACAAATCTATGGCCAAATTTTCATTTTTTGTTCTTTAATTAGTTATGTTTAATCACTTTTTTTAACAATATCATAATACCATATTTAGCTAACATCATCAAAAACATTAAGATCATTGACATTTATACAAAATTAATGCCCCATTAATCCCCTTCTTCACCCCCTCCCTCTTCCCATTCTACCTTTGAGCTTGCGCATCAATTGATATTGAATAAATTGCATTTGAGCATTTCTAACCAATTGATGTTTAAAAACATTTAAAATCAGACATGTTTGCGAAAAAAAAAACGTAATCAAGCAGAAAAATATGCTTGCCTCAAGAAATGGGGATAACTGATCTTTATTATATGTCAGCTCATCAAGAATGGTATCTAAAATGGTAGCCCTGCATAAAAAAAAAACATTTACCAAAGAGAATTAAATGGGCACTATAATGTTTAAACAAAGGTCCCTTCTCCACCAAAGAAGCATATGAAACCTGAAGCTATCTGATCTTGAAGTTAAACCTAATTTCTCGGCTTCTTTCCGAATCACATCAAGCTCCATGATCTGATAGAAGAAAAAAAAGGCTTAATGGCAGCAATGGTGGGCATCATAATACTTAAATAATGACCCAAAAGATCTCTAAAAATCTTACCAATATCAAAAGTTTCTGTACAGCATCACAAGCTTTTCTTTGAATTTCAGGGAATGCAAAGGGCAGACCAACATTGCAACTTTGTGGTAGATCACCAGAAATGCTTTCTTGGACTTTCAAATCTGTATGACAGATGTTGGCCTCATGGAAGAATCTAGTAGATACGACTGACAAGCAATTATGGACTAAACTCTTATAGTTCATTTTTCTTGATGCCTGAAAGTAATTTCAAACTAATGTTTTTCTGATCATAACCAAAAATAAATATAAAAAACAAATGCCTTAAGAACTAAAGACACCAATAAGCCTGGAAAGAAAAAGTTCATTCTAAACCTAAATTACATACAAAATTGATATTTATGAAGTCAAAGAAGAATTACCACAAGCTGGCTGAGCACGGATTCCCTTAAAAAGACCCAGTTTAATGTTTCTGAAATTGACTCAAACACGGATCAGTATGATAGCAAATAGAAAGAAAAAATCATGCAAGAAGTATATTTACATACCCTTATATAAAGTATGACGAGGCAAGAAATCAGCTTCAAGCGCACGAACAAGATACTGAAACAACAGCATGTTCTGCACGGTCTGTACGAACAAAAGTTTTATCCCAATTTTCAAGTAAGAAACAAAATAAAAGTTATTAAGGATAATAAAGTAGAAGTCCATGATGTCATAACAGCTACAAAATTAAATTTTCTGAAAACCATTCAAACTGAACCCGACTTCCATTCATACAACTTTATGGCATCTTCAAGCACCAGGAAAATTAACTATCTATAGTTTCAAAATTCAGCAGCAACAAGAGGCTCAGATATATCAATTCTAAGCAGCAACAGTTTCATGTAAGTAATTTACCATTTTCAAATATGCTTTATGAAATTCTCAAGAAAAAATGCTTTATAAACAACCTTTTAGATAAAATGTTTAATTGCGTCAACTATAGAAGCCAGGAAATATAACCATACTGATTCGTTCCATACAGCATAAAAGAGACATTAGCTCTTCCTTGCTGTTCCTGCGGTGGAGGCTGATTGGGGTTAACGAAGAAAAGAGAGAAAAGGAACTAAGCAGCTCCATGTCCTATAAAAGCATGTACCTGCAGAATAGAATCTTTTCTCCCTCCATCTCTCCAATACAGAAACTATAAACTCACAAGAAAGTATAATTCACTTAAAATCTTAGACTATCTCAGATTTAATCAACACTTAAAATCAAACTTGTGAAGCATAAGAACTCTTTAAAGGGATGATGTCTAGTTTTAGATGGCATGTCACGTTCTATATAATTTTCTAAGGAAAACTCCAACCACTCTTGGAATGCTTAGAGAGAATGGATGCATTTTGATCCCATAAGCCTAGAGTTGTATAATAGAGTTTTGCTGATAACATGCATAATTTGGTTGAGATATTTTAGACTATTTAGGCTTTGTGCATAGCTTAACACTAAAAGTCTAAAACTATAGAGTATACACTAGAGAATAAAAATGAATGTGTTATGCACAATCCAAGAACATACAGGACTCAGATGAATAATGTAACTCAAGAAGAAATGTTAAGCTCAAATTTTACTAAGCCAAAGTTTCATGAGTAGCCACAGGCAATCCAGATCGTCAACTAGATAAGTAAAATTTTGGAGATTTGATATAAATAAATATATATAATATATTATATATATATTATATATATATATATATAATATACAGTGTAATATAAATTAATGAAACACTAGCATTACACCACAGTGGAATAATGAAAATGGAACTAATGAGAAATTACATTAAAATTGCCATTACTACAAATTGACCATAACAAATTATATTGCATGATATTAATCGTACTGTGCGATATACTCTATATTCAGATAATTCTATCAAATCAATTTGCATAAATAAAGGGGTTTTCTAATATATGTGAAATAATCATACTGTATGATGTTTATCATATCATTCAATCATATGTAAATTCAAATTAAAACCGTCATACTTTTTTTCCTTATTTAGATTAATTAAAAAGTAAATTAGTCGTATTGTACAAACAAAGGGAATTATAGGACAAATTGATAGACATTAGGCTTAACTAATCATATTATATAATGTTAATTTGACCATACGATCGACCAAAACACAATTTGCATTATACAAATCAGTTCATAATGATTATATTGTACAATTTGTATATCATTCTAAACAATCTCCCATAATTTTTTTTTTTACACAACTTATTCTAAATTGTAGTTTTAAGGCACTTAATATAAATAGATTCTTATTTACCCTAAAATGCAAGAGAGACCAAAAAAAATACAAGAAAATAGATGAGTTAGCTTTCGGGAGAAATCATTTACCCTTTGAATTTTAAATTCTAAAAAGAGAAATCCCATTGTGAGGGTGCACTACTTGGTTGTTTCCCCACTATTCTTTTACCTTGCTCTTAAAATAATTTTTTGAAATGTTAAGAACATTTATGTTGTGATTTTAATGGATCCTTGAGATCTTAAAAGACCCCTTAGTGCTTTTGTTAACTAGTCGGTGGTCTAGAGTAGCACACTTCTAACTTTAAGTAGAGGGTCTAAAATGTATCCAATAATGAGAGAAGTTTAATTGCCTTTGCCTTTGCAAAAGGAGTAGTTAATGGAAATCTTAGGAAGAGGACTCGTGTGGTAAATTTAGGCTAGTAGATCGAACCACTATAATCCATTTATGCTCAATTTTTCTTATTTGTACTTGTACCATTACTTTTGACAACTTGCTAATTTTTCTTTACTCTTGTTCAACTGATATACTAGTGGAGGATGATGATTATGTATTCTGAACAAATCATTAGCTTATTCTCAAATTATGATATTAAAATTATGGATTCTTGAAAAATAATCTTAAATATTTTACTCAATTTAGTGGTCTCCAAAAATATACCTGACAGAAGGATCTGTTGATCCAAGGGTACCTTATAAACTTGGGATGATATTTGTCAAAGGGACAAATTCGAGTCAATTTAGCTAACAAAAGGCTTTGAATCCTATCAAATGTACCTCATGATTCATTACTCAAGTACTTTAAATACATTAGGGAATTATGGGCTCTAGCCATGACCGTAACTTAATGTTACCATTAGTGGCGAAACTACCATATTAAAGGACCCTATACACAAACTTTTACTATTGGTGTTATTTGGCAGTAAAACCAACAATTAGATGATATATGTCACATCCTTACTAGCAGGATATTATTTGATAATGAATCTTAAAGATATACTTGATTGGGCATTCGCTCTTTATAAGTTGAACTTACTCTTGAATTTATCTCCCCTAATATACAATTGCAGTGGGTTAATGGATTTTAATCCGCATAGCATTCTCAAACCTTAAATTTAGGAGCTAATATATAGATCGGAGCACAAGTAGATGTACTCAATTTTAAAAAAATACTTTAGTTAGGCTTGTTTTTTACACCACATAGCATTATTGGATATTATATTAAGCATTTAACACACTCTTGTCGAAGCTCATCTGGTATATTGAAACTTCTTTTAAATGTCATGCACACTTTTGAATGCATTTACAAATTACAGAGCACGTATTTTAATGCATTTGAATAATGCTCTTATACACATTTCAATGCATTTTGCATGATGAACTTACAAGTATTTCAATGCATTTTGCATGAAATACTTGCAAAATACATTTATCCATTTTTATGCATTTACGAGATGCACTTGCGCATTATTTAATGTGTTTGCATAATGCATTTACACATTGTTTAGGGTGCATGATGCATTTGCGTGTCCATTATTGCATGTTATTTAGTACACAAGCATGATGCACTTGCACATTGCTTAACACACTTGCACAATGCATTTGCACTCTATTTAATGCATTTGCATAAATATATTTGCATGCTATTTAGTATAGATGCATATGATGCATTTGATTTTATTAAATGCACTTGCATAATGCATTAGCACAATACATTTGTACACTCATTTAATGCAATTGCACATTACATTTTGCACTGTCAACGCACTTGTATGATGCATTTGTATAATGCACTGACAAGTTTTTCAAAATGTTATATTCTGAGTTCAAAAATTATTTTGTTATGTTGTATGCTTGATTTTAAAAAAATTAAATATGACTTTGTGCAAAAATGAATCAATTAAAAATATATATGTCACGACCCGGCCCGGTTAGCTCGTAAATACGAGGCGGGAACGAGATCGGACATGTAATATAATTAACTAATCATTCTCAAGTAAATAAAACTATTCAATGAAATCTTCTGTAGACAAAAAGCGCCTCTAAAGAATATTGCAAATCTAATGAGTGTCATAAGCTAAAGTTCATTCGCAACTGTGTTTTCTTGCTTGCATTGGCTCTTTAAATTTTTAATATTCAATGATTGCTCATGATCGTAGGCGAGTTCTTTAAACTCGTTACAAGTCCTCATATTGAGTTCATTTATATTATATTTAAAGTGTTCAGGTTTGCATTTCTGTCTCTTAATTTTAGATTCCTTAAAGTGCAAATTTTTAAGTTAAATCACTCGAAGACCTGGCAACTTCCCAATGTCTCCCTGTATAGGGGAATCTACATGGAGTTTAAGCCTAACCACAACGACAAGAAAGGCCTATATGGCTGATGTCTGGTGATACTATGACAAAAATTCTAAAAATCCAACCACCCTAAGAAAGGTAAAGCCTTGCTAAGAAAAACATGCATAGAGATCCACATACACATCGAGCACATCACTAATGTGGTCTACCCGCTGTGAGGTGGTGAGTGCAAGCTGGATTGGATGGAGAAGTTGGTGTTAGCTTTAGAAATTTTGATTAAGTAATGATTGGAGGCTACAGGCAATGACTTGGTTTGGGACAGCCTTACGTGACCACCAGGCGGGAGGGCTATTATAGGTGTAGTGAAGGCTACGGCCTGAGTGTTTTTAAAGGGGTTGATAGAAGTGGGTGGGTGTTACAGGCTGCCTAGAAGAGGTTTAGCTAGGCAAGTGATAAGAGGTGCAAGGAGATGGGGTTGACTACTCGGGGAGGAGGAAGTAGCTATGCAGATGGCTAGAGGCTGACGTGAAGATAGTCTAGAATTAGCCATAGTAGGTGGGATGGCAGCAAAGTTGTGGGGCAGCTTGGTGGAGCAGGAGAAGAAGGCACTGGGAGAAGGGGACTTGTGCGATTGAGCAAAGCAAGCAGCTAGGTCCTTGCTGGGGGGAGAGAGAGAGAGAGAGAGAGGTAGAACGAAGGGTTGATGGTCTAGAGTGCCCTATAGCAGCTATTTATAACAATATAATAGAAATGCCTAGAACTCTCTAAAAAAAGGTACTAAATTAGATAAACTATTCCTAAGGTCCTCTTTAACTAAGATGCACCGCATCAATAATTCATATAATAATGAAACAATCATATAAAAAATATGACAAAAAAATTAAACAAAATAAATAATCATGAAGCACAAAACATGAATGAATACCTTTTTTTAATTATAGACATGAAGTATCAAGTAACCGACCTATTCTTTGTAAATTCACATTTTTTTAATGAAAAATTCAATTCTCTTTCTATAGCGGGTGAAACTATAAAAATGAAATGAACAAAAAAAAATGAATATTAATTGAATGATATGTAATACAAATAATATAAAGTGAAGTATAATAAACAAACTTCATGTATAATACACATTTTTTTAAGACAAAGAAATCACAAATCATTGATATATTGATAAAAATGTATAGTTCTCATTCAATTGTTCACATCAATTTACATATAAAAAAATCAAAAAAGTCTTAGTGAATCTAATAATCATCCCCTAAACACAGAAATAGTTCACATCAATTGTTATTTCTTACATGAAGCAATATTACATTTAATCCCTGCTAGGTGTTGGAGTTTATAGCAAGAAGACAACTTGTCATCACCCACAGAATAATAATGTTTATCCATTGCAGCGATGAGGAGGCTCAATGGATGAGTGGTTTTACTCTTAGAGACAAAATGCAAAACGATTATATACGTGAAAAGATTTGAGTGGCTCCAGTAGCAGGTAAGATTAGAGAGTCTCCTTAGATGGTTTGGTCACATAAAACATTAACCTTCTAATGACCCGGTTAAAAGAGTAGATGTATTAGATATGGTCTATATTAAGAAAAATAAAGGTAAACCTAAAAAGATTTGATTAAAAAGTACTAAAATTGACCTTTCTTTATTAGATTTAAAAAACACAATGGAGAAAAAAGATTCATGAAGCCGACCCTACGTAATGGGATAAAGGCTTAAAGTTGTTGTTGTTTTTGTTGTTGTGCCCATCTTCCTCAATGAAAATAACCTCACCCTCATCACAATTCCTAAAAATCAAAAAATATGGGCATTTGCACAATTGCATCTTCAAATTATAATTTATTAAGCTAGTCAATCCCATAGAAAACATGATACAACTCTAGTACAAGGCCATGGAAGGATAATGTTAATGTGAGTAGTATAGAGAAATATCACAAATCTATAGCCACAACGAAGACAAAACCAACAGGACCTAGAAAGCTTATTATAACTCAATTCGTAAGACATTTTAAGAAACATCTTATCATAATTCAATAAGGAGGGCTCAATTAAGAAACATCACAAGAACAATATTCTGAATGATCCCTAAAACAAGGAACACATTAAATAAGGAAAAAAACCAAAGCAAGTAATGCCTAGATAAATATTGCTTGAAGTCGTTGAAAATTACCTTGATTGCGGAGTGTCTACCAACAGCAATTTCTTCCACGAGAGAGGAGAAAGACTGGTGCAAAAATAACATATTAAGTTTATTCAGTTCCAAATTACATGAACACCAATTATAGCATCCATCAACAGGAATATTAAGCACTAAAAAATATAAATAAAAGTTATAATAAAGAAAACCAAATATAAAATAATACAAATGAGATGATGATAGAAGTTTTGCGGGATTCAAACAACTACCAAGAATTATAGAGTGCATCGAATATACCGATAAAGTCATCGCGACATGAAAATTATGCATTTCAAAATGATCAAAAATTCATCATTTAGCAGTCAGAGAGAACTTAGCTTGGCGCTTGTACTGTAAGCAGGATATGGTCGAATAAGTGTAACTAAAATAAAGCCAACATGGAGAACTTTTCTCACGTTGCTTTTATAAGTGATATATTTCTATTTACATATTATGTACTGTATTCCTCTTATTGAGCTGGCGTGATCTGATTGGATGAACCGGGCTTCTATCTATAAATACATTTTCTATAGATTGTAATAGGACAATGAAATAATACTTTTCTTTATTCCTTTTCTCTGTTCTTCTTCCTGCTTTCCTCTCTGCGTTTCCTCAGCTTGTGTGTTCTGATCCAGATCACACGTTCCTTCATGGTATCAGAGCAGGTCGTCAATGGCGAACTCTGCAACTTCCGGGAACAATGAAAGATCAAGCATGGAAGATCAAGAAGAGCCGCAGATCTCTTCTTCTCTAAAATTCGTGGTCACGAATATCAAGAACATCGCTCCGATTCATCTTACTGCGGACAACTATGCCATCTGGAAACCTCAAATCTTCAAAATCTTCAGTGCTCAGGGATTTCACCGTTTTCTTGACTCATCGGTGACTCCAGATAAGTTTCTCTCTCAAGGAAATGGATCTTCTATACCCAATCCCTCCTCCGCCCAATGGCATCTTACTGATCAAATACTAGCCGCTGCTCTTTGCTCTACCATATCTGCCCCCATTTTACCTTACATCATAAACCTTAACTCCACCGCAGCTATCTGGATTGTCCTTGAAACTCGTTTTCAATCTTCTAAAATATCTAAAGTAATACAACTCAAGAACACTTCACAATTTCTCCCTCAAAAATCTCACTATGAATCAATATCTAGCTGAGATTAAAATTCTTGTAGATCAGATTGCTGCAGCTGGATCGGTTATAGATACTGAAGACATTATTCTATACATCCTAAATGGCCTTCCTAATCTTTACCAACCCTTCAAAACAGCCATAAGAACTATGCTACACCCAATACCTCTTGATCAACTTTACCCACTCTTGTTAAAGTGAAGAGATCAATTTAGCTTCCGATGCCATTCGCAACAACACTTCTCCGGATCCTGCCATTGCTCTATCTGCTACCCGTGGAAATTACTGCAATAACATAAACCGATCGAATTACTCTGCGCCCAGATCCACATGAAACCCTGCAAACCAATCGATCATCTGTCAAATTTGTCTCAAGAAAGGACACACGGCGCAAAACTGTTGGCATCGTCTCAACTCTCAATATGTGCTCGCCGCAGCCAACAATTCGAATACAGCTCTCGTGGCAAATCCCGAATCAGTCTACAACAACTGGTTGCTTGATTCAGGGGGCCACGTCTCATCTCACAAATTCCCTGGACAATATGTCTATCTCCAACTCCTATCAGGGCACTGATAACATCACGGTAGGCGACAGGCGAACGGTAAATATCGCTCACACCGGGGCTGGCCTTCTGCCAACCCCAAGCCGTAAGCTCCTTCTAACCCAAATCTTTCATACGCCTGATTTGCATTATAATCTTTTATCTATATCCAGACTAACGAAAGACAATGATGTATCAATTCTATTTTATCCTTCTGGTTTTGTCCTTAAGGATCTCCAGACGAAGAAAATCCTTCTTCAAGTCCCGTGCATCAAAGGTCTATACCAGGTTCCGACTACACGTTCCAAGGATAGTCATCAGGCACTCTCAGCTACTACAGCAAAATCGCACTTATGGCACTCAAGACTTGGTCATCCCCATGACCGCACATTATCTACTATAGCTAAAAACAATCCTCATCTCAGTATTTCTACTCTTTCGTCTACTTGTATGTCATGTAAAAGTTCTAAAGGTTATAAACTCAATTTTGATAAGTCTGCTACTCGTCATGAGTCTTTACTTTCGCTTATTCATTCGGATGTTTGGGGACCGGCCCCCATTGTTTGATTTGTTTCTATTCAAGGCTTTCGGTACTATGTGATTTTTGTGGACGATTATTCGCGTTTTACATGGATTTTTCCCCTCAAGCATAAATCTGAAGTTACAAACATGTTTATAAATTTTAAAAAGAAAAATGAGAATTACACATCTAGTTCCATTAAAATACTTTGCACCGACAGCGGTATGGAATTTATGAACCACACGCTCCAACAATTTCTGATTCAGCATGGAATTACCCATCAAATTTATTGCCCGTATACTCCGGAGCAAAACAGAGTGTCCGAGCGCAAGCATCGGCATATAATCGAGACAACTAGAACGCTACTTCACTCAGCCTCCATTCCCTACCTTCATTGGCCCGACGCTGCACTTACCTCTGTCTACTTGATCAATCGCATGCCTTCATCCGTGACCTTCAACATCTCTCCATTTGAAGTATTTCATCATACTAAGCCTGATTACGCACATCTACGGGTCTTTGGATGTGCATGTTTTCCTCTTGCCCCGCCGCATTCTCACCACATGTTTCAACCCAAAGCAAAAATGAAGGTTTTCTTGGGTTATTTCGATACTTATAAGGGCTATAGGTGCCTAGATCCCATCACCAACAAAATTTTTATATCCAGAAACATTACATTTGATGAACATTACTTTCCGTTCTCTCATTCCTCCTCACCTCCCATCAGACCCGCGGAGACACCACCTCCCTTTCTACTTATTCCTACTTCGGCTCACTCTACCTCTACCTACAGCAAACCAGAATTGCAATCCTCCAAAAATCAGCCGCAGCATACATCTGCTATCATTCAGCAACCTCTACATATATCGTCTGAAGCTGCTATACCCATCTCCCAGCAACCGGGTACTTCGAAACCTGAGCATCATCATATGGTTACCAGAAAACAAACTGGGTCTCTTAAGCCTCGAGTTCGTTTGAATTTATGTCACACTATTACTACTAATCCACCTGCTGCTCCTAATTTTACAGAGGCCAATAAAATTCTTGAATGGAGACAAGCCATGACTATGGGATTTTATGCACTGCAAAAACAAGGGACCTGGAGTCTTGTTTCTCCCCCTCCGAATGTGCCGGTTCTTGGCAGTAAGTGGACGCATCACTTCAAGCTTCATTCCGACGGGTCGGTGGCCAAACACAAGGCTCGACTTGTAGCTATTGGTAATCAGCAAGAATATGGGATCGACTACACGGAAACATTCAGTCCGGTAGCTAAACTTCCCACTATTTGTATACTTCTAACCATTGCTCTTTATAATGAATGGAAGGTACAACAGCTTGACATAGCGAATGCGTTTCTTCACGGCAATCTGTCGGAAAAAGTCTATATGACTCAACCCAAAGGTTTTGAAGATAAGTTGAATCCTCACCACATATGTTGTCTTCAAAAAGCAATTTATGGCCTTAAACAGGCCCCACGACAGTGGTAAAATACGTTTACATCTCACTTGGTTTCTCTTGGTTTTGTTCATAGTAATGTCGATCCCTCGCTTCTTATTTTTAAATGTCATGATACTCAAATTTATTTACTTATGTATGTTGACGACATACTTATAACCGGTAACAACTCTAGCCTCATAACTGATATTATTGCTCAATTAAGTGCTCGGTTTACTATGAAACACTTGGGTGAGGCAAGTGACTTTCTTGGTATTAAAATCAATTTTCTTAACAAACGCTATTTTCTTTCTCAATATCACTATGCATATAAACTTCTCCATCAAGTTCATCTCACCAAGTGTAAACCTTTGGCCAATCCAGCATGTACTAAGACTCCGGAAAAACTAGCAACATATCCCGTAATTCACGATCCTGGTACCTACAGAAAGCTCACTGGCTCCTTGCAATACTTAACGATTACTCGTCCCGACATCGCTTACAGCGTCAATCAACTTTCTCAGCATATGCACAACCCTCTCCCTCTACATTTTTACCTTCTCAAAAGGCTGCTAAGATACATCAAAGGTACGCTCCACTACGGTCTTCCTATTTCAAAATCTAATCTCAGTTTAACTTCCTTTTCAGATGCAGATTGGGTCGGTGATCCTATTCTCGAAGATCAACTTCAAGATATTGTTCATTTCTTGGAACTACCCTTATCAACTGGACGGTCCGCAAGCAGCACACCGTAGCTCGTTCGTCCACGGAGTCAGAATATCGCGCTCTAGCAGCTCTTACGGCGGACGTTCTCTGGCTTCGTCGTCTTCTACAAGACTTCGGTCTGTCAGAACAAGCCCCTACAACTATGTACTGTGATAACAACTCGGTCATAGCCTTGGCCAACAATCCAGTGTTTCACGCTCGTACGAAGCACATCGAAATTGACCAGAAATTTATTCGGGAGCATATACAAAACAACACGGTTCGACTCTTACCTATATCCACTACAGATCAAGTTGCGGATATCTTCACCAAATCACTGTCTACACCAAGATTCCAACAACTCCGAGACAAACTAACGGTCACTCCGGATCCGTCAGTTTGCAGGGGCGTATAAGTGATATATTTCTATTTACATATTATGTACTGTACTTCTCATATTGAGCTGGCGTGATCTGATTGGATGAACCGGGCTCTTCTATCTATAAATACATTTTCTATAGACTGTAATAGGACAATGAAATAATACTTTTCTTTATTCCTTTTCTCTATTCTTCTTCCTGCTTTCCTCTCTACGTTTCCACAGCTTGTGTGTTCCGAGCCAGATCACACGTTTCTTCAGCTTTTATGAGAAATTTTGATTAAGGATTTATACAAAGTTAACTATATCTATGCTATTACTGCATTGGAAGCCAACTTGTTGAGCAGATTTTAGATTTTAACCCCAAGTTTCTTATCTTTTTCTTGTCCATTAAGACCCATCTCAGTTTTATTTCAGTATAACTCTTATAACCTCCTACCTTCAAAATAGCCTCATGCCACATTTCAAGAAACAAGTGGAGCTGTATTGGGGGAGAGAACAAAACAAAGTGCGAACTGGAACCAGCAACGTGATATCAAAACAACTTCGTATGTTATTTGTCACCTGTTGGCAGGTCAGACTGAAAAATTGCCCCAAAATAGACAATTTATAAATTTGAAGGAAATACTTTCATTTGCAAAAGTTGTTCTTTTGATAATTAATTGAAACAAATATTGTTGATTCCATTAAAAAAAATAGAAATGCTCGTCTACTCTTATTTTTATAAATGTTTACTATTCCATATTGCCATTAAATACTTGAACAACTTCATTTTTGCAGTTACATGGTTGGTTGTGCCTTTAAGCCTGTCGAATGCATCAATCACTTCCAGTTCCAACACCTTTTATTGGCAACTTTCTAGTGGTCTACTTTGGCAACATTAATATATATAATGCTTTCAAAGTTGATGACTACCAAGCACGATTGCAACTTGTTTTGTGAAAGCTTCAGGCATAGAAACAGATTCTTAATCTCGAGTGTCCCTTCCTCAGCACGAAAAGTTATCATCATTTTTCTGTCGAATGATGGTGTCAATGTTAATCCTTCTAAGGTTAAGGACATTGTCGAGTGGCTCAATCTCAACCCAAATTAAACTTAAACATCTACATTTTTCAATGGTTTGTAATTTTTTATCGCTGATTTACTAAGGGATTTAGTTCCATCATGTTTCCTCAGAGGATGTCCTTACGCAGAGCAAGCTGATTTGAACTTCAGGCACCAATAAATATTAAAATTAAGATGAGTAATGCCTCATTGCAAGCACACAAATTTTAATAAGACCTTTGAGATTGCTTGTTTAGCATCTGGACGTGAACCTTTAAGGGTCTCCAAGTTATGTATGCCCTATAGTTGGACCGAGGATAAGCCGAGTGGCCTTGACTGCAGAGAATGACAATTGATTAACGACATCTGAAGCTCAAGTGAGTCTGGATGAGTCCTTCTGGGGGACTTGACAAGGCAATGACTCAGCCTGGCTTATCGAGATGAGTGGTCATAAATCTACAAATTAACATTGACCAACTTATTGTGTGGTCACTTTACCTTATGGCAAGTGCTCTTCCAAGGTTATGTGATGACTTCGACCGAGACTCCTCTTTGCGACCAAGGTTTAAAATTGTATAATTAAGTATTGAGGCATTTTTCATTTTTGAGGCAAGGCGTAAGCATCAAGGCATTTTAAGGTGTAAAACTCAAAAATTCACAAATTGCGTATAGTGAAAGTAAAGGTTAAAAGTGATCTTTTATATAATACCCAATATATTAAAGGATGACATTCTAACTTTTTATTTAACTATAAAGTAACAAATTGGCATAAATATTAAACATAAAATTACAAAAGACGTAAAATAGCAAGAAATAAATTACATGAAATAGAATTGAAATCTAAACATTACAAAGCAAAACAAAATAAAATATAAGAATTGATTAAACTATCATATTACATCAAGTTCAACTCCAAATCCATTATTTTTGAGTTCCATACTCATCCACATTAAATCTCTAAAGAAAGCTGAAAAAGTTGACAACAACACATAAATCATTTACACTATCATCATTGAAAGGGTCTTTATTTGATCATCTTCATAACAAATTAGTCTCCCTTACCTCATCCTCAGAAGTTCAATTCCTCTCAAGCTGCTTCTTTGTCATTTATTTCAGTCATCTCCCTCTTTCAAAAATAGTTGTCATCAACATAAAGATGAGTGTAATACTCCAAAATTTTTAGAGGAAGGGGTAGTTTGTGGCTTTCAAGTGATCCCCGGCGGCTGCTACAGCAATGGTGGCTGCAGCGAAGGCGACAGGCTGGAGGTTGAGGCAGTCAAAAGGAAATTGTTGCGACTCAGAGGTGCATAATGGCGTGATTTGTTCGAGATTTAAATTTAATATTTAGATAAATTTTAATAAAAATATATAAACATGGTGAGGCGTACACCTCAGGCTAATGAGGTGAGGTGAGGTGTGCCTTAGAAAAACTGAAGCGCATCCCTCATGAAAAAGCTCAAGGCATAAGCCTTGAGGCATTTTTTTCACCAAAATTGTGTTGAGGCAAGCCTCATATTGCAAAAGTTTAAACAATGTTTGCAACCAATTCAATGCCTGTGAGATACCCATATAAGCATGTACAAGCATACATCTATAGTTGTTCTTTTAAAAACATTTCAATCCAATGATATTCAAGATTCATATAAGGGAAAGTTGTCTGCTAAACTTCCTAGATGTCCTATTTAACCTTGCTTAGTAACTACCCTTTCTTGACGAGAGATCTCTGCTATGTGTGGAATCTGATTCTGTCGATAAATATGGTCGTTCTATTGTCTAGGAACTCCAAGTTTATTGTGTTTGTTGGGGGGTGCTGTGAGTTTACCCCTTGCTTGGGTTTGAGTGCTTTGAACCTAAAAATTTTTTTTTCGTACAACGCTCTGGTGTTGTATACCTGAGCGCCTCGGCGCTGTGTTCCTGAGTGCCCTAGCGTTGAACAACAGAGAGCAGAGCACCACAGCATTTCAAGACAAAGGCCCCAGTGCCGCAACACTTCAAACTGGTGTTGCAACGCTGCAAGACGGACTGGACAGTTTTCTTTCTCTTTTCTGAAGGGTTGCATCCCTTTGAGTTATTTTACTTGGATTTCTCTTGTATTTTCAGTTAGTGTAAGAGTGAGAACGGTGTGTGTGAAAAAAGAAGCAAGTAGAGAGTGAGAGAGAAGAGAGATTTGTACTTATTTCTCCCAATTTTCATTGTGGATTTCTTGGTGTGGTGTGGCTCCATGGTTTTTCCCTATTTTGAGTTTTTCCAAGTTAAATACTGGTGTCCTTTACTTTTCTGTTGTTTTTTACTTTCTTGCTTGTTTCGTTTGTGATGCTTACTCCTCCTCATCATCCCCAACAATCTCTCATTTATTCCACGTTTGGTGGTAATAGTCTTCTACTCAAAGTGAATGCCCAATTCTAAAGGTACTTTCTACTCTAAGAGTAGATCATCCACAGAATTTAGAATTTCTTCAAACTCATCAACATGCATGGAATATTCAAAAGGCTCAAACTCTACACATTTATAACTAAATACATCTCAAGATATTATGGTGGTTCCAACTAGCAAGCATTTTTTCCAATCTTCTTGAGAACTTTAAAAGGTTCATACCTAATTGGCTTGAACTTCTTGGATTCTCCAGTCAACTGATCATTGCTTTAGTATCATAAGATTTCTTACTTGGAACTCATCCTTTACACAATTAGGATTACAACTTTCTTTGTATTTTATTGGGGCTATACTAGTTGATTCTCAACCAATGTATGAATTGTGCATATACCCTCCTAAAACTCTGAGCACTTTCTTGTTGCACTTCAAATCCACCATAAATAAAAAAGGTGATGGAGAATTGAAGATCAAAAGGGATATTATTGAAGGTGTTGCAAGCATACTTCAAATGGTGTCTTTATTGTTTAAAAGTGTACACCTCTATTGAATGTATGGCAAACTTCAAATGGTGTCTTTATTGTTAAAAGGTGCATGACTCTATTGAAGGCAAATTGAAGATATGGAAGGCTATCATTCAAGATTTTGGGATGCATGTTATTGTAACCTCATAATAGATATATCATGATTTTATACACAACCTCTGTCCAATCAATATGTGGATGGAAAGTAGTCCTCATTGATCTGATATCCATCATAACCCACATTACCTCTTAAAACTGGCTAAACAATCAGTTTATCTAATTCATACACAAAGCATTATCAAAGAGCACAAATACATGCCAGAAGAAAATGATGACAACCTCCTTGCTTGAGCTATATTTCCCTAACTCTCTTAGTTTCTCCCTCCACTTTCCTCTCCATCTACCCGTTTATACCCTCTCCATTCCAAGCTCTCAAAACAATTCTATTCATAAACCACATGCCTAAAAAATATACATGATGATGCATTTGCCATCAAAAGGGGCCTCCATCAATAATTCATTATTTTTGGGTTCTAAAAATAGATGGGAGTGCTAATTTTCTACCAATCGAGGTACAAGTAAGGGTAAAGAAGTAGCATTAAATATCTACTCATTATTAAAGTAATTGCAAGGCCAAAACCAACGCTGTTTTCCAAGCCACAAACTAGCGTGCTCTTCTCATTAAACCACTGAGAAAGATTGACCACCGAAATATTCAACCATGCAAGGAGTTGCCTATGATCCTTGAGGATATTGTGTTGCTGCTCCAAAGCTCTCCTCATGGGCGAGGAACTACCAAGGAAGGGATTTTTTTTGGGCAAGCATGGAAAAGAAACTTGTGTATTCGTAGTTCACGATACATTTGGATATAAGACAGAGCCACGGACACGCATAGGATTACGAGTTTTAAATATCATTAAAGATTATATTATGACTTCGAGTAATGAACATAAATTTCCTAATTTTTAAAAGGTGTTATGCATGAAAACAAAATCCAAAAGAGAAATAAATTAAGCTCACCGCAGAATCAAGCAGGCTATTTGAATCCCTGCAAATCCCACTATCCTCAAAATGCGAGTTTCCTGATCTGACCGTAAATGGAGACCATGCCTGCATACCCGATCAAAGAGAAGTTAAAAATCGGGCATCAATCAGCCTCGATAAAAATAGAATCTCTCCAACAAAACCTAAGATAACCTCTTTATTCACCACAAGTTCCCCAGCTCCACCAGAATTAGTCCCCAAATTATCTGAATCCCTTACATAGACTCTAGGATAGCGCTGTAGAAGATAAATGCACACAGGTACTTGAGAAATAACGTGATAATCGAGCAATGTACAAGAAAATTTGTCCAAAACCTTGTCCAGGTCGGTTAGAAGCTGGAAACACGCCACAGCCAGTTCAAGAGACAGGCCATCTCTAAGGATTTGGAGAATAGCATCAAACATTTTCCTCAGTAGAAGAAACCCACATAAAAATTTAGAATAAAAACCCCTCGGCTTCTACGTTAGGAGGAGAAAGTACTCAAAAGGGAGCATACCAGGTAGGAGGTGAAGGGGATGTTGAAGCAAGAGAAACGGCACGAACGGCTTCCAGGAAAGAAAGTCCTGCGTAGGAGTGAGGGTTATATGTAAAAGAGAAAAAAAAAATGAAGAGAAGAAAAAGAGAGAGGAAGCAAGAGAATACTGACTATCGTCATGGATATCGCGAGCTTCCCTGATGCCGGAGAAGTCGAGGATGGCCAAGGTGTTGCCCTCCAGCCTTTGGGAATTTGTTCTAGGGTCTTCCATTTCTCGTTGCACCACAAATGGCAGGTGATTGGAGTAGAAATGGATTCTTTCAGAGCCCTAATTGATTTAAAAGGGAACAAAATTGACGACAAGGCACCCCTTTCATTTCATCTTCCCGCCGAAATTGATCGAGCGTCGGGGGAATCGTATTTGGATGGCAGCATAGAGAAATTAAAATTTTAAAATAAATAATTTCCTTTGCAGAGACTCGAACGGGTTTCTCGAGTGCACCGAGTACCCTAACCTAAAATTATTAAATTAAATAATTTAAATATTGCTATGTTTAAATTAAAAATTAATTAATTTTTAAAAATATATGTCATGCTTAAATTTTAAGAAATATGTATTATAAGTTTTAATAAATCAAATATTTTAAGAATATATGTATTTTTACACACACATACAAGATTTGAAAATCGGATCAAACAATCAACTGAAATAAAGAGAGATTCGATGGTTCGTTTGGGTTTGGAATGATGCAATGAAGTTTGCAACAGTGCTAAAGCATTTGCCTCGCATCTTGCAAGAGAAAAACAAGCACTTAAGGTAAATTAAAAGTTTATTATTACTTTCATCATTTTTTTGTATTTATTTTCAAATATGATCAATTATTTAGAAAATGAGTATTTTTATTTCTCCTTGTCATTTAAATAACAAGTGTATGATAAAATATCTATACTACTATTATAAAAGTGGTTTGGGATTCCACTCATAGCAAATCCTGGCCTTCTATTTTAATTAATTTTAATTATTCAAATTAAATCCTAACCTTCCATTTCAATTATTATAATTATTTTATTAATATCAAATATACTCCATTAAAACTCCATGCTCTCGCCGTTTTATCCGGTAGGTTCCTCTTGAACTTATACTAAAACGGTTCGTCTTCCCTGCATCGATTTATTTATAGAATTCTATAATAACCTTTCGTATTCCAGTTCCTCATCCTTCGTCTACTCGCACTAAGAGCAATCGGTGGAAGGCGAAATGGCAAACTCACCCAAATCACAATCGCCATTCGTTTCAATTCCCGCATTCCCATCAGTTTTCATTACTAATCCCACTTTCTTGAGAGAGCACTGCTCCCTTCTGCATTTTTTTTTTTTTTTTTTTTTTTTTTGCATCACCCAAGAGTGCTTCTAAGAGTGCAAGGGAAGCGGGAACCTGGATTGGTTCAGTCGTCCGTCCCTAGCTAACAAAAAATGAGAGAGCAAGTCGACAACATTTTTCTCTCTGCCTTCAACTGCTTTTATTTGGTTGGAATCACGGTTGCTGCTATACATTCCTAGAGGTGAGAGAAGGAAGAACATCGATTTTTCTTTACAAAATCGACGTATCTTCCTTTTTTGTCTCTAATTTGTGAATATATTCTGCATCGACTGCTAAATTGCCTTAATGAAATCGAATGATCCTTTCCCATCCTAATCCTCTCTATATATGAGACGTGTAACATTCTATTAATTAGCAAATTATGTTCTTCCTTTTTTTATTTTCCATTTATACATGTAAAATTCTAAAGTTTAAATGTTGCGTGTATTATGTCATTTTTGCTAATCAAGTGGAAGTGCTTCATAAAACAACTCACATTGCCTACTGTTGAATCTTAGTACTTATTTATTATTTATTAGGGATGGAGGCATTAGACTGCTGGCTTAACCTTAATATCCAAGAGCTATGCATTAGTTTTTTGGAATGATAGTTTAAAATCCTTCAGTTATATACATATTTGTCTTCTTTTGTACTGAGCTGAATTGATGAAATAAAATGAGCTCCACTCATCTTGATGTTTATGTTAAAAGTTTAACTCATTCGAATTTACTTTAGGAGGATTTATATACATAATACTATATATTGCTCTATTTAAATATCTAATACCTGAAACTTTAATATTACATACATACATACCACCTAGAATTCACTTTCATATCATATATGGGTGGTGGGAATGAAATATTTGGTGGTGAGAATGAAATATGAGTGTCATATTTGATATTAAAATAATATAAGGTGATATATATGTAATATTAAAATTTTAGATGTTCTATATGTAAATAGAGTAGTATAAACTGGTATATATGTAATATTAAAATTTTATGCGGAAGATATGTATCTTATTTTAATTTCTTTAAAGTGATTAACATAGGATCTTATCTGTTCATGTGTGTGAATATATAAAATACTTATCTGTGATATATATAAATATAACTAGTACATTTCATTTATTGAATTCAGAGTGGTGTTAACGATAGGATAAAATCAATCTCTTTGGCATCTCTAAACTATTGCTGGTCATTTCATTCCCAACTAATTAAGTAATTATATATGAATATGAGTATAACTTTGTAGGTAGCCATCTATCTTGGGGATAACAAGCCATTTTCTTCATAATCATCTTACATGTATGTGTTTGCTGCTATTTTTTCAATTAAATACAATTGCAAAACGCTCAAATCTAAGCTTTACCTAAACTCATAACTTCTTTAGCCATTCAATTTGGAGAATAAATTCCATTTAGAAATACATTTTGTACTTATATGTTTATAGTTTGAAGAGGAAGTTTTGCATGTTGTTTATTGAAGAATTCAAAATTTCATTTTGCCTCTTTCAATTAATAATTACTTGATTTGTATTTAAACTAGAACCTCATTTATAATTTGACACATGATTTGAATTATTAGGCTTTATGATAAACTCTTCACTTAACATGTGACATGACAACCAATCTTGATTATACTATATGTTTCATGTATTGATATTTTGTGGTGTATGTATTAAATTATGGTAATTAAATTAACTTGTAAATGAGGCTAGGAATTATTTTTCATTTATTTGACTTCTTTACAGTGCATTAACATACCCATACATGTTCATAAATGACATCTTGTTAATGTTTTTTCTATAAAGAACTTCTAGATAGGGAACATCATAAACAAAATAGAACTACAAAATTGGTACCCTTATAGATATGTTTTCAATGCTTGATATTAAATTGAATATCTAACATCAACCCCATAATACATTCACACTAACCAGATTAATGCTTATACAAGTTAGTGCACACTCAACTCACAAGCTAAGACAACATCGAGTGTATAACCCACTTCACCTGTAGCCCTGATAGATGATGTTGGGTATAGATAAAAGCCTGGGCACCAGGCTTTTTTAGTCTATATCATTCTCACTCATTTTACAACTCTTATGAATATACATATATCTTAAGGGTCAACATCATAGGGTAAATAACGTAGACATAGGTTTACTAAGCATAGGAAGGTGCACTTCCCATTTATTAGCCTAGAACTAGGTCTCCTAAATCCCTTAGTCTACGAGGTCCCATTAGATGAGGTAACCAATAATTGCTAATATGGATCATCCGGTTGGCACTCAACTAAGTAGGCCAAGGGCAACGATGAACCCAAAATGATAGAGCCATGTGATCTTGAGCGAAAGTGTCATACCCACCTGGTAGGTTAGTGTCCACTCTCCAATTATCAGCCTATTTCGACACTTAACTCATTTAACCTACATAAGTCATCCCTAAGAGCCAAATTAACAATAAGACCATTAATAAGTTATAAACCAATTAATATATACACAAACACATACATATTAAGAGCGAAACATAATCATATTGGATTTCACCTCACACTTAAAGCAAGACAATTCATATTATATTACATCCAATAACCCTCAACACTAAATGAAACATAAAATTAACATAAACCAACAAATACAAAATTAAAGGACATATACATGACTAATACAATCTAATCTAAAAATTTAATGAATTCAAATTCAAATGTAATGGTGGATTTAAAAATGATTAAAAGAGAGAGAGAATAAAGGATAATGAATAATTAATTAAAGATTCAACAAAATTCTGAAGAATCTTAAATAATTTTTTATAAATACATAAAATTATAACGAAGGATAAACTAAATAAATATTTCAATTAACAACTCATTTGACCTCCAAATTAATAAGCTCTCTAATTGAATTAGGATTTAGAAAATTCATTTAAAATGATAAAAATATGAAATATTTTCAAATAATAGAATAATAACCAACAATTGCTACATATAGTAGAGTAATATTAAGTCAAAGATAAAACTTTCTTTATACGCCATTATAAAAATCTTAAAGCAATATTAATATTTGAATCGAAATCATCCATGGATAAAAATCAAACATATTTAAAATCGAAAATTAAAAATCCAAACTAATAATAGGTTTGACTACCACACGACCTAACACATACTAGAAGATGCATATAGAACAGAAGCCTTGGATGTCTTATGTTAGGATGTTTACCTTCTTTTATACATTGTTTATATATTGAAATATTGTTTATTTTTATTTCCCTTGCTTTTCATACTTTATATTGTATTTCATTTTCTTATTTAATTCTAAATGCTAAGCTTTTATTACAAACACAAATCCCAACATAAAAATAAAAGTCACTTGATTACAATTTTTACCAAAACTGAAAACTGAACTCCGTAGGGAATAAAACAACCGACATGAGAACATCGATAAACACTTGAAACCTTGTGATTTACACACATGAGAACTTCCTGATTTCGCAAAAAAATATAACTGGCGTGTGACGGACACTTGCATGCTTACTTAAGTAGTCCATGATTTTAATTTAAAATTGTAAATGGCATGATACTTTTCCTTAGGGTTACATTTTAGAAAGTTTCTCCTAGAAAGCTACTTCTTACAACCAATATTGTTGCAGTTTGACAGCTATAGGAAAGCTATTAATTGATTTTTTTCTTAAAAAATTTTAGTTATAACAATCAAAGCAGTTTCTAATTTTCTTTTTCTCTATACAAATCTATTGTCAAGTCTATCATATATATATAAAAAAAAAAAGTCGAGGCAGGTCTAATCAGACTGTCAATTGTGTACAACTTATTTTTTGGGTAAACCCGGGGCAAAAGCCCATATATTAGACTGAACAAAAAATTACAAGAGAACCTGTAAAAGGAAGAAAAGAGCCGTGGCTAACAAAAAGAGATCCAACCAACATACCAAAAACAAAGCAACAGATGGTGGATATTACAATCAAAAGGACTCAGAAAGGAAAAGACCAAACCCCAGATACATCATAAAATCAGTGATAAGCTCTCCATATCGCGCCGAAGGCTCAGGTTGCCTAAGATCCAAAGCAAAAAGTTACAGCAGCAGTGGTCTT